TTTGAACAAAACCAGCCCTAGGACTGACCCCTGGGACACTCCACCTGATACCAGCTAACAATTAGACATCAAACCACTGATTACTACCATTTGATCCCAATGATCCAGCCATTTTTCCATCCACCTTATAGTCCATTCATCCCACCTATACTTTTTTAACTTCCTTGTGAGAATGTTGTGGGAGACCTATACCAAAAGCCTTACTGAAATCAAGGACTATCACATCCACCTCTCCCCGCATCCACAGAGCCACTCATATTATCATTAAAGGCAATCAGGTTGGTCAGTCATGACTTGCCTTTGATGAATCCATGATGACTGTTCCTAATCATCTTCTTCTCCTCCATGTGCTCAGAAATTGATTCCATGAGGACCTGCACCATGATTTGTCCAGGGACTGTGGTGAGGCTGACCAGTTTGAAATTCCCTGGATCCTCCTTTTTCCCTTTCTTAAAGATGGACACTATATTTGCCCTTCTCCAGTCATCCAGCATCTCTTCCAGTCACTATGAGTTTCCAAAGATAAGACTCAGCAGCTCTGCAATCACATTGGTCAGCTTCCTCAGCACCTTTGGGTGTACTATGTCTGCCCCCATGGACTTGTCCACATCCAACTTTTCTATATAGTTCCTAACCTGCTCTTTAGCCACTGCTGGCTGCTCACCTCCTCCCAAACTATGCTGCCCGGTGCAGTAACCTAGGCTCTGACGATCTGACCTTGCCTGAAAGACTGAGTAAAAAAGACATTGAGTACTTCAGCCTTTTCTGCATCCTCTGTCACCAGGTTGCCTCCCCCATTCAGTAAGGGACCCACACTTTCCCTGATCTTCCTTTGTTACTCACATACTTGTAGAAACCTTCCTTGTTACCCTTTATGTCCCTTCCTAGCTGCAACTGCAATTACACTTTTTCCTTCCTGATTTCATCCCTGCATGCCCGAGCAATAGTCTTATACTCCTCCCTAGTTTTTGTCCAAGTTTCCACCTCTTGTAAGCTTCCTTTTTATGTTTTAGCTCACTTGAAGAGTTCCCTGCTAAGCCAAGCTGGCCTTCTGACATACTTGATAGTCTTCCATTGCAATGGGAACCAGAGATGAGAGAGACAAAGGGAAAGAGCTGTGACCCAGTATTGCCAAGCTCCATTTCTTCCTCCTGGCTGCTGTTCATTGATTCTTTTTCCCTGCTGATGAATTCTGGGTGAAGGGAGGAGGGCAAACAAGCAGCCATATTCACAGCCTGGGCTCAAGAGCTATATGAAAATGGGGACTCTGGCCAAACCCTGTGTCAATCAGTTAGTGAGCTTAGAGCATGTGGAGCATTGGCAGAAGCTGAACTAACATGCCAGTGAACTCAGAAAGCTCACTGACACCTAGGATCACAACTGGGTGGCAACCATGCTCTCTTTGGCTGCGCAACTCATGTGCAGTGAGCGCTCTTCACTGCATACACACCACACAGCCAAAGTGGGCCTGGCTCTAGTCCCCTCACTATAATCCTGGGTCAGCCCATGGCTCCATGAGTCAGATCTGGCTGGCAGAGTGTAGGTTGCTAACCCCACCTCTAATGGCCTTTTCTCAACAAAAGCTTTCTCTTTGAGTCAAATGGTGAATACATCCTTCATTGGTAGGACTGAGCAGATTACTGTGTCAGTAATGGTTCAGGAGGTTGTTAGCTAGTAAATGCATAGTTTTCTTTTTTTTTTTTTTTTTATAGGATGAGTTCCTGCTTAAAATAAGGAACTAATGTCACAAAATCCTTCACCAAAGCTTTGCCAAAATAGCAATTCATCTTAAGAGCACACTTTGTTGCTAGGAGCATGCATGTACAGGCAATTTGCTTTGTGAGATTACGTTGGAAAAAACACATCTTAATTCTCCACTCTGCTAGTATTTTTATGGTGATCTTTTCTTTTCTAACAAAGATGTCTCAAGTGGGGCTTGTGCACTTAAAACAAAAAGGCTTTCAATTTTCTAAAAATCTTTAATCTTGCTTATTTCATAAGAAACTCCACACCACAGTAGCTTCTTCAAACAGTTGTTCTGATACTAGGGCAAATCCAGTCAAGGAAGGGAAATAATGCCACTTGACCTACGTGACCAATCGGCAAAAATTATGCAGCTTAATTTTCTTGTGGATTTAAAAAAAAAAAATGCTGTGATCAATACATACATTAAAAATCATCAAAAATACAAGCAAATGCAAATTAATACACTTGACAACTGCAATCTCAACATTCTACTAGCAGAAAAGGAAGCTACATTCATAAAGCAGACTATTTTATGAAAATTATTTGCTTTATTCTAGTTGAGACATTCTCTGATTAATTCACATGAGACTAGTTAGGTAGGAAATGAAAATTATGCAGACAATATTTCTTATGGCAATAAGGAAAAAGTCTCCTGACTCCTTTTTTGGTTTTGTTGAGTGATAAAAGAGACCTCTTACCCAGCTCTTCCTAATTTCTTTAGCAACAGTGTAGCTGGAATGAGGAAAGTTGAAGCCACCATAGCTCTGAAGCAGAAAGAAAAAGGGAAAATGCAAGGCAACTGCTCTCTGATCTTGGTGTGCATCAATTATTTGCAATAAATTCCCTGCTGTTTGAGCTTAGACAGAATCTCAAATGCACATATACTTTGGCTATTAGAAAGTATAAACTAAATAGTGATGAATAGTGACTATTTGTTGTTTAGATTTATTTTCTGAGTAATATAACTGGGAAAAGAAAACAACCTAGTATTGAAGAATGTATCATTTTTAATCTCAGTGCTTTAGCTACAGCCAGCATCAGATAGAATGTCATATTGCAATAATTCAAAGATCTTCCTATTAGTTTTCCTAAGCCCTTAAAGTAAATGAAGCTGTTACAACAGGAGATGTTAGACACATTCTCTAATTCTCCTTTGCTTTGAGACCTAAATGCATTTCAAGGAGGAATTCAAGATAAACTAGATTTTACTTAACTGCATTAGTCTTCTTATCCATTAGTGTTTGATACACTGTTCAGCAATTTTTTTCCAGTGACTGCAATAAAATGGTATGCTCCTTTTCACAGTTCACAAATATTAGCAAAAGCAGTATATCTGTAAGCCACTACTTACCACTACTAACTTTGGAAAGTAATATTCTCTAATTACTTAAAATTAGCACTTAAAGAAAGGGTTAACCAGCAGAATCAGCTAGCCTAAAGAACAATAGAAAAATCATTAGTGTGTTAACTGAAACAATACCATACTTTTCTCTCTGTTGTTTAACCTTTTGTCCACATTACAAATATCTCAATGTAGTTCTTATCTTTGACCTTGAGGGACTGTAGCTTTATCAGTCCTTCCTTTTAGATCACAGATGACCTTCAGCTGATATCATTGAGCCCTGACCTGCCTCAGTGATCTGCTCACACAGAATACATATGCTGAACAGTGCTGGTGTGTGCAGTAGGGGTAAGTGAATTATTTACAAAAATTTGAGTTGACACCTTTTATCAAATGTGGAAAGATGAAGACAAAACAGCTGCTATTGCTGTCGTAAGCAATCTGCTGGTGATTGAATAAAAGTGTCAAGAAAATGGCTGCTTGATGGCCTTTTGTTCTCTCTCATCCAGCTTGATGTTAGTTTGAGCTGTCAGTTAGGAATCACGGCACAGTGATTTATCAATAGGCTGAGTGACCTTCTATTTCAGTTAGTGATACAATGAGAAGACAGCACCCTCTATTGAGGGCATGCTGCATTTCCACATGCAAAGCCATTATTCCTAGGAACGGGCTATCACTTTCTAGCAGGACATGAATCTGAAAAATACAATTGTCTATTTTGCTTTTGTTTTATTTTTACCCAGTCTAAAATGCTTAGCTGTGAAAATCTGAAAAAGCCACAGACTGGAATGCAGATTCACAGGCCTTGTAACAAATGAGAGCATAACAAGCAAATCAATCACTGGTATTCAGTCCAAACAAACTTGCTGTAATTAGACAATAGAACCTGGAAATGTAAGGGGAGCAACACAAAGCTGATTTATGGCTTCAGTCTGAAATGTTGTAGTTATATCAAACAAAATAATCAATACTTTGCATTCATTTATTTTATGGTTCCCATCTGCATGGCTGTTTTCCCTCAAATCGTCTCACATACAGAAACTTACGCCCTGCCATGCTGTTATCTGAACAAGGTTATGTTGAATATCAGGGACCAAATAATGACATTAGTGTTTGGGGTGGTAAGCTAGTGACAGCATTCTTATTCTTCTATGGGCCTGTGACTCTTCCTCAGCAAGCATTAAGCGTTTATTTGCAAAGATGGTTCTAACTTCCTGCACCAGTGATTTTACATGAACGGTTGATCCAAGCAGAGATTGTGAACTTTTACACACCACTTCAATCTCTTCTGCCTATTCTTCCAGGTGTAATCCTTGTTTTTAATTCTCTTCACAGCCACTTAGCAGCCATCTGAGGAGTTATTCTTTCATCCCAAGGACAGGCCATATGGGCACCTAAGAGCAGTCAGAGCAAACCCCTCCTGTCATTTCTGAAATACTCTCAGTTCTAGTAACACAAGTCTTGAAAAGCCCAAGGCTGCCCACAACAGTGGTAGGCTGTGAGCTTCATTCTGGGCACATCTACACATGCAATTAATGCACACAATCTGGAGTTTATTGCTCTAGATTTTTTTGCTGCCGGGTTCACCATTTGAATGTGCATCCAGAAGCATAAAACTGCACAGTATACTGATCCAGAGTTTATTCATTCACAGCACATTGAGCCCAGTCGGAGCAGCCCCAGTTGGCAGCAGCCCGGGGTTGTGCTGCAGAGTACAGAGGGACTGGCTAAGGCAGGGGTGGGCAAAATGCGGCCCGGGGGCTGGATGTGGCCTGCCAGGTCATTCTATCCAGCCCATGGGGCCCCTAAAAAATTTTAAAAATTAATATTTATCTGCCCCTGGCTGCCTATCATGCAGCGCTTTATGACTTGCCAAAACTCAGTAAGCGGCCCTCTGCCCAAAATAATTGCCTGCCCCTGAGCTAAGGCATGAGAGTGCTTCAGCATGGAGCTAGCTAGCAGGCAGCCCTGCACTGAAGCACCCTCATGCCCCAGCCAGCCAGGCAGCATCTACGCATGCACTGCTATGCATGAAAAAACAAGTACAAGTACCAGCCTACTCTGGAGACTGTTAGTTTTGTTTGCCCTAATAAGAGTGCACATGTAGATGCAGAGACATTTACTGTAGAGCTAATCTGGCAGCTGCTCCGCAGTAATCGTCTTGTGTAGTTGTGCCTTTTTGGTAGCTTTCAAAAGCACTTCCATAATGAGCAGCTTTCTGACTCATTTCTTGTTTCCTGAAGCTTGTTTCCTCAGCTTCCTTTCATGGACTTTTGTTAAATATTACTTTTGCTCAATTTTCCTTTATAAGAGACTTTTTTTTCTCTTGTACCCCATGAGGTTGCACTTCCTGTGGGAGAGTAAAGAGATATGAATCCTTTCACTCCTGTCATGAATGAAAGCGACCTCTCCTGCCTCCCTCAGCCTCACACAGCATCTCATGAAGTAGGCTATCACCTATAAAACCTTATGCCTATCTGAACCAGTTAGTCTCTAAGGATATGTACAAATATTTGCCACACCCAGTCTAGGTTTAGGTGGCTTTTCTTAAGACATCTAAATCTAGACTGGGAGTGGCATGTACAGATGTTTGTCTCTGCCAGGAGTGGTACAGGCAGTCCAAAGTAAATCAGGATGTGGGGGAAAGGGCTGATAGGATTAGGGGAGACTGGTGGGTCCGTGGGGCGGGGAGGTGCTGGTAGGTCCAGGAGAATGATGGGTGATGGGTTTGTAATGGGAGGGTTGGTAGATCCATAGTGAGAGGATTGTCCAGTCTGGCAGGTGAAGCAGGGGACTAAAAATAGCCCACCAAGGTCAAGGGATAGAAACAGCATAGCCCCAGGGCTGGGGTGCGAGGCTGATCTTTCCCAGCCCCGGGGCTGTGCTATGAATGAGTGCAGGTGTTTGCTAGATTGAGGCGAACTAACTTATAGGAGGTTTTTCATTTTCTGGCCAATGTAAGCCTTCCAATGCCTACACAAGTGGGCATTCAGACTGACCTAACCCTGGTTAGGAAGAACTAATTGTAACACTTGCACATACCCTGTCCTGCATTCAGCCTCAGGTAGTAATTGTGGATGCAATGGAACTTTTCTTTTGCTCTGACAAAATAATGAATTGTTTCTCTTTTCAGCCTCTTTCTCTCTCTTGCCTTTGACTGACTTTTTAGCCATTTGTCTCTAAGAGTTTCATTTTTTTTGAAAGGCAAAAGGAAGTTCGGTGGCTTTACAGACCAGTAAGGCCTGGAATAATTTAGGTTGCAAAAAATGTATTTTAAAAAGCGCATGTCAATAATTTCTTTCTATAAACTGCTAAAATAACACTCAAAAACCCAGCCACTGCAAGACTAGCGAACAAATATTTCTTCAGTACCTTCAGTTTATTATATGCAAGGACAGCACTTTTTGTATAATCAGTTTCACTGTTTCCCCGTTTTTTGTCAGCAAATTAGTCAGTTCCATAGCTGCCAAGTTTGACTCGCCTCCAATCAGAGTAAACCATAGTGGGAAGATATGTTGGGGGAGGCAGCTCTGAAGCATAAATAGGTAGCTAGAATGAGGAGGAATAGGCAGTGGTAGCTGAAAACCAGGAAATACCTGGGGTTGCAGAAAGCGACTGTAGAGACTGAAGATGTGTAAACCGGATGTTGAAGCATGGCTGATTCTGGCGGATTGCAGTGAAACACAGGAGATACCTGGTCAGATACGACCACCAGATCCACATTCAGTGATCCTTCCACTTGCATACCGCCCTACTGATTCCAGAGGTCTTAGTCCCTTGATTCCTTCAGCAGCAGTTTTTCCTTGGGGCTCTTTGAGATGCTTGAATAAGGAATGGGTTTGTGCCTGAATAAAGGAGGTCAAAACAAAGGGTCCCCTGGGAAATGTCTGTTGAGTACAAAGGTAAATGAATTGAATTACAGGAAATTCTTTCCTTACAAAGAGACAGGGTTTCCTAGGATTCTCTGTCCTACCCTGACTACAGGAAACAGCTGTTTGTGACCTAGCCAGGAGCTGAATGAGAAGATGTTATATACCATCTTATTATTACATCCTCTCCTTCTCTATTTTTTCAACAAACTTTTAATCCTTTTATCTTCCATCATAAAATGAACCCCTGATTTCATGGGATTGATGCTTCTTTCTTATTTGTGTAAATCCAGAGCAAGTCAACTGAAGTCACAGACTTCTGCTGAGATCAAGCTGATGGAAAGTAAAATTAGAATTGGGTCCTTTATTTGCCTGAGGGGGAAAAATAATCCTGGCTGCAATATTTTTTTTGCTTGCAGCCCTGCTACTGAAGCAGCACCTTGATCATTTGTGTGAAGGTTATGGAACTGCAAACTCTGCACAGGTCTTAAAGCAAACTTACTTGAATTGTGAGAGCTTTAAATAGAACAAAAACTGGTGGTTCATTGACTGGGCATGTCTATACAAGATGTTTACTGCACTTTGACTAATTAGCTGATCAGTAAACATCTCAGCATCTACACAATGCCCCTGAGATTATATTATGAACTTTATTACCTAATACAATATTTCACTATAAAAAAATTAGAAAATATATGCTATGAGTTTAAATTGTCATTTCTTTAATTTCCTTTTTGTTTAAATGATTTTCTTGTTAAAGAATGATGTCTTGCTTCTTTCTTACCTCTTAGAAATTACTATAGCTGAAGAAGGTTATAGATGAGTAAAAGTATATGCAGTGCTAGGGATACTTTTTTTTTTTGTTACTGAGGACACTTTGTTGAAAGAAGAGGTTATAATTTAAAAAGTAATACTATTTGCATTTGCATTTGCATTTACATAGTGTCTTTCACTCAAGGATTTGAAATCATTGGAAAAATGTTAATTAGTGAAGTACACCACCTATGATTAAGATCACCTGACACTTCCTGTAATAAGACTTTATTTCAGTTGCTTAAAACTGACACATTTTAAACATTTTAAGCTAGATTTTTAGATACTGGGTGTCTGCCTCTTATTGAAATATGTGGAGCAAACTGGAAAAAGGAGGAAAGTATACCTGGCAGAGCAGGCTAATTGGCAAATGGGGGAGGGAAAACTAGGCCTGTTAGTCACAAAAGTCTGTGAGCTGGTAGATGGGTCAGAGACTCAGGCTGGATTAAGGCCTGAGAAGACTGACTAAGTGAAAAGACTAGGATAAGATATGTGTTGTGGACATAAGTTAAGAGTGAATGACAAACTTGAGAAGGGATTTTGGGTCTAAGAGTCAATGGGGATAGAGATTTGTCAAAGACTGAAGGCTAGGGAAAGATTGAGGCAGATTAGATGAGGAGCTGAGATTGGAGAAAATGGGGTGGCTGGCCAGTGAGACAGGAGAGAAGGATTGGGAGGACTGGCTAGTCAAGAAAAGTGCTGAAAAGGCCCCAAATGAAAAGCCTAATTAGTGGGGGTAGCTATTTGAGGAGAAGGAAACTGGGATGAGGAGAAAGGACTAGAATAGGGACTGGCTACAGAGGGAAGGCAGTGAGAGATCAAACATACTGGCAGAATAGTCTGAGTCCTCAAGAGTATGCTCTCCTTCAGAGTCTGGAAAGGACGCAAAAGTCCCATGTGTCACCATTCTCCTGTGGTCAGTAAAGCTATGTGAAACTCACTGGTCAATCTCTCCGCATCCCCAAGGGTTGGCTCATATGAAACACACCTTTTACAAGTTACTCCCTTAGCAGCCATGGCAGAAGTCAGAGAAATGAAATTATCAGGCCCAGAGTCATCACTAAGGGTGTGCAGGGCCTGGGGCATACCAGCCTGTGCAGGGCCCTAGGGGGTGGCGAGTGGCTGTAGCTGGCAGAGCCAGCAGGGGCCAGCAGTGGACCCGGCAGCTCTTGGCAGCAGCAGCGCATGGTGGCCAGAGTAGGGCCTATACAGCACTGACCACAGGGCCCCCCCAAAGCACAGGACCCGGGGTGGTCACCCCAATTTCCCCCCCTCCTTCCAGGGATGGCCCTGATGAGGCCTCAGATTTAAAACAAAGAAAGGGAAGTGCTTTTTTATGCGACAAATGAATAACATAGATTCATAGATTCCTAGAGTTGGAAGGGACCTCAGTGGGCCATCTAGTCTGACCCCTGCCCCTGGCAGGCAAGAAAAGTCACCAACCCTGGGGTCATGTGATCCCAGCCAGGTGCCTGTCCAGTCTCCTCCTGAAGACCCCCAAGGATGGGGCGAGCACCACCTCCCTTGGGAGCCCATTCCAGATCCTGGCAACCCTGACTGTGAAGAACTGTTTTCTAATGTCCAGCCTAAGCCTCCTCTCCAGCAGCTTATGACCATTGTTCCTTGTTGTTCCATGGGGTGCGGTGGTAAATAGATTGTTGCTTACTTCATGCTGCTCTCCCCTTATGAATTTGTATGCTGTCACAAGGTCCCCTCTCAGCCTTCTCTTGGAGAGGCGGAAGAGGTTAAGGTCCCTTAGCCTTTCCTCATAGAGCCTTCCCTGCAGGCCTCTGATCAGAAAAGTGGCTCTTCTTTGGACCCTCTCCAGGTTATCTGCATCCCGCTTGAACTGCAGCATCCAGAACTGGATAGAGTACTCCAGCTGTGGTCTGACCAGTGCCGCATAGAGAGGGAGAATCACCTTCCTGGACCTGTTTGTGATGCACCTACGGATGCACGACAAGATGCGATTGGCTCTGCCAACTGCTTCATCTCATTGACAACTCATGTTCATCCTGGAGTCAACAGTGACTCTAAGATCTCTTTCTGCCTCAGTGGAGCTGAGAAAGTCACCCCCCAGCCTATAGGTATGATGGCAGTTCTTTTTTCCTAGATGCAGCACCTTGCACTTGTCCTTATTGAATTTTATCCTGTTGTTCTCTGCCTACTTCCCCAACCTGTCTAGGTCATCCTGGATCTAGTTCCTCCTTTCCAGGGTGTTAGCTTCACCCCATATTTTTGTGTCATCCGCAAATCTGGCCAGGGTGCTTGCCACCCCCTCATCCAGATCACTGATGAAGATGTTGAACAGCACCGGCCCCAGAACTGAGCCCTGAGGGACTCCACTGCACACATCTTTCCAGCTTGACACCGACCCGTCCACCACCACTCTCTATGTGCGACCCTTGAGCTAGTTTGCTACCCAGTCTACTATATAATCATCCAAGGCAAACCTCCTCAGTTTATTTAAAAGGATGGTATGGGATACCGTGTCAAAGGCCTTCTTGAAGTCATGTGGAACTCATTGTGACAGAATGTTATGGAAGCCAAAAATTCAAAAAGGGATTAGACAAATGTTTGAAGACCATGCCCATCAGGGCTGGACACAACATGACACAAGAGTCAGGGATGTAACCTTAGGCTCAGGACATCCATCTGGAAGCCTATGCTGGCTGGTAACTATAAGGGCATGACAACAGAAAGAACAATTTACAAATGCCCTGTTTCTTAAACTTTAAAGCATTTGCTACTTGCTACTGTCAGAAACAGCATAGTGGGCAAAATGGAACTATGATCTGACATAGTGTGACAATTCTTATGTTCTTATGTAGCCCCTTAATGACCCATGTAATGTCAATATGATGCCACCTGACAGAACATGGGGGGTTTTTTCAGTTTGACCTTTTTAAAAATCAAACAAATTACACACACAAACTGTTTTATAAGAACATTATTATTGTTAGGGAAAGTACAGACCTACAACTGATTTACTGTGGCACAACCTGGGGAAGGGCTTTACTGGATATCAGCTGCTCTGTGGTAAATGTCTATGTGAAGCCTCTTACCCTGTGGTAAATGGAAGCTAAACTGTGGTAGATTAACTCTCAGTGAAACAGGAATAAGTTATTGTGGTAATTTACTGCTCAGAATGGGCAGTGCTCAAATAATGAGAAGCTATTCAATATTGTGTTCTCTCCCCTTTGTTCAATGTGTGGCCTTGTACCTTATTTACTGCAAACTATTCATACACTGCTCTAAATGAAGGATTATTAATTTCCTCATACTATAGTATCTAGGTGCTTCACAAATATTAATGAATTCATTATCACAGAACTCTTTTGAGATGAGGGGGGGATTATTATTCCTATATTATAGTTGGGAACAGAAGCACAGTGATATTAATGTCAAAAGAACCCTTTAATTTTGGGTGCCAAATCTGATATGCCTGAGACCTGATTAGCATCATATAGAACCCTTATATGTTCAAAACTCACCTCCCTTAACTCTGTACCTGTAAGTGTTCAGTACTTCTGCAAATCAGGCCTTAAGTCTCCAGTGATACACCCTTAAAATAAGGATCACATAATTATTAATCACCCTTGAAAAGCATGAATTACCTAACTTCAAATAGGAACACTGCAGCAGATGCAGAGATAGGGGAGTACATGGAGATAAAATCAGGTTCCTCAGAAGAGAATTCACCAGTATCCCTTTATCCGTGCACTTGATCTTAGCATAAAGGCCAAGAAAAGACTTTCTGTTCTTCCTGCAATAACTTCCTGTCTCAGTCACTATACAACATCCAATTTCTGCAGCAAATGAAACAGTAGGGACCTGCTCTACACAACTCAGATTTAGCTCCTGAGCAAGCTCTTCCTCTGCACTGAAATAGGAAGTTGCCATGGAAAAAATAGCACAAGATCACATATTTAAAGAAGTCTCAGAAATTGCACTGGCAGTCTAAATCCTAGCATTCCCTATTTTCCATGTGCTTGATTTTGCAAGGTTAATAATATTCTTTTAACACAGATTTATGCGTATATTTGAGAGATGGGTAAACTGAGAAACAGTTGCCAAAAACCATAAAGGCCATGTCAGGATGGGCACAGAAAACAAGAACTCTGTCCTTACCCCACTTCACCATTGACCACATTGTCTCTGGTGTGTTCTATTCAATTTCCCGAAGTCCCTGTGAAAAGAATACAGCAGCATTCTTCGTAGAAATGATTTCATGGGTTTAAAAGTGAGTCCTTCTCAAACTACTATATATTTTTATTTCATGCTGCCTGCTGTCTCTTCATATGCAAGGATACTTGTCCCCCTTAAATCTCATGTGCGCATGCATCATGACTTCTTCATAAAAGGTCTGTGGAATGTTGAATACTATGTAAATTTTATGTTGTAATGAATTGGGTCCTAAGATCTTTAAAGGTCAGACACCTGATATAATACATCATGTTCTTTAATATCAACTACAAAATAACTGTAATAAATTTTTCCACCACCACATCCTCACACACTGTTGCCCACAAGGAAGCACCAAAGGAAATGTGTCATTTGTCAAAACAGGTTGGAAACTGGCATGTGTACAAGTAATTTTAAAAGAGTTGCTAAGGTTAGGCACAGCTGTGTAAGTGAATATTACAAGGTTAACTTTTGAGAGTAGCAGCACACTAAGAAGTGTTTTGAGAGTAAGGGAATGTTTCCGCTGCATCCTGTGGTCTTGGGGAGGAGGCAGTGTAAACCTGTGAGAGCATGCCCTACCTACTTGCTCCCATTATAAAGCTGCTCTGGAGATGTTCCCAGCCAGAGATCAAGAGCA